AGACATTAAACAGTATTGGCAGATGGGTAATTGAACCTTGAATGGAAGTTTTGAATGGAAGCTCAGTGGGGTGAGCAGGGCTATCAGGCAAAGGAGGGAGATGTGGTCCTCTGTAGCTCAGCTAGTAGAGCATGGCGCTTGTAACACCAGGGTAGTGGGTTCGATCCCCGGGACCACCCATACACACAAAAAAAAATGTATGCACGCATGACTGTAAGTCACTTTGGATAAAAGCGTCTCCTAAATGGCATATTATTATTATATTATAGATGGTTAACAGGCACAGTGGATAACTGCTGCCGCTGACCAGCAGTGTCCCGCCAGCGAGAGACACACGCACAACACACACAGAACCACACACTGACCCAAGATAATTCAAACTAATAGATCCACCCCCCCCCCCCCCCCCCCCCCTTAGATAGCATATTTCTTATTTTTCAAATACTAGGTATTTTGTCAGTATAGAAACTGAGAGGTATGTGGTGGAAGCATAGATTTGTGCCTCAAATAAGTTTGAAATTGGCCTGTCAATACAATACTTAAATGGACTTTAGGGCGGATTCTTTTCAGACATAGATCTTTGAGAAAAATAAGAGGGGGAAAAAATACTTTTTATTCAAAAGATGTATCAACTGTAGTTAAATGCCATGAATAACTTTTTACAAAGTACAGCTTAGACAACTAATAACAGCAAGATATCTAATGTAAAGCATACTGTGTCCATAATAAGTATATAGGTTATAGGTTGAGAGCTTTGTGAAAGAGCACAGTTAGAAAGATATGGCATATAGAAGCAAACCGGATGGACATCATGAAAATGCCCAGGAAGGAGACGTGTTCTGTCTCCTAGAGATGAATGTACTTTGGGGTGAAAAGTGCAAATCAATCCCAGAACAACATCAACTGACCTTGTGAAGATGCTGGAGGAAACAGGTACAAAAGTATCTATATCCACAGTAAAACGAGTCCTATATCGACATAACCTGAAAGGCCGCTCAGCAAGGAAGAAGCCACTGCTCCAAAACCACCATAAAAAAGCCAAAGGGGACAAAGATCGTACTTTTTGGAGAAATGTACTCTGGTCTGATGAAACAAAAATAGAACTGTTTGGCCATAATGACCATCGTTATGTTTGGAGGAAAAAGGGCGAGCTTGCAAGCCGAAGAACACCATCCCAACTGTGAAGCACGGGGGTGGCAGCATCATGCTGTGGGGGTGCTTTGCTGCAGGAGGGACTGGTGCACTTCACAAAATAGATGGCATCATGAGGAAGGAAGATTATGTGGATATGTTGAAGCAACATCTCAAGACATCATCAGGAAGTTAAAGCTTGGTTGCAAATGGGTCTTCCAAATGGACATTGACCATAAGTATACTTCCAAAGTTTTGGCAAAATGGCTTAAGGACAACAAAATCAAGGTATTAGAGTGGCCATCACAAAGCCCTGACCTCAATCCTATAGACAATTTGTGGGCAGAACTGAAAAAGTGTGTGTGAGCAAGGAGTCCTTCAAACCTGACTCAGTTACACCAGCTCTGTCAGGAGGAATGGGCCAAAATTCACCCAACATATTGTGGGAAGCTTGTGGAAGGCTACCCAAAACGTTTGACCCAAGTTAAACAATTTAAAGGCAATGCTACCAAATACTAAGTGAGTGTATGTAATAATAAACTTCTGACCCACAGGGAATGTGATGAAAGAAATAAAAGCTGAAATAAATCATTCTCTCTACTATTATTCTGACATTTTTACTAGGATTAAATGTCAGGAATTGTGAAAAACTGAGTTTAAATGTATTTGGCTAAGGTGTATGTAAACTTCCGACTTCAACTGTATATACATTTGCGAGAAAAAAAAACATATGGGGGATTGGAAGTGATGCAGACAATTACATTGATGGAAGTTACAATCTATCTGCAATATTAAAGCTGATCTACCCCCCAAAAAAGAAAAATAACACACAAAAAGTACAGCTTAGACATGCAGCCACACAGGTTATCACTATTTCAAACAGACCTGAACAAACATCGAAAAGCCAAAGGTATTGAATTGTGGCCTTGAATGATAAGTTCGTACTCTCTGTTATCAGGTGGTTATAGAGACCCAGAAGATTATGGGTAGACATATTCCTCACTATAAAACTCCTAAGGTATGCAGAGCTGTGATTCATCAGGTGCATGTGAAGTGTCAATCAAAGCTGACTCTCTCAAGAAGAATCACCATGATATCTGCCTGCCTACGCTGGAAACTGACACTCATCCACAATGCTTTGCATGTCAATGGGGGCTTACACAGAAAAACTCCTGGGTTCCAGGAAATTGTTCTGATTTCCTTGAACAAACTTCAATTTCATGTTCTACGATGGATAATGTAGGATTTAAGAAATGTGTCTTCTGTAATATTCTGTTATTAACATTACGGCTGCACTATTGCACATTTACCAAGTTGACAAACTGATAATGAAAATCTGTGTGAATTCCCATTGTAGTGGTTCGCTGTACTAGCACGGTTTCCCAATCAGTAGTGCACAACACGTTGCTAATAGACATGGTTTGATGCTGCTGTTCGCTGTGTCGGATTGGGTGCCACCGCAGTGCCTCAAAAAAAAGACGCTGTCGGCGGTCCAGTTAACAGGCCTTTGCGCAGCGAGGAGGGCTTATGCCACCCCTGTAATCCGATACGATCAAACACCCGAACAACCTATTTCAATTATGAAAACCGAGGGAGTGTTGGGGGTGTTCTCTGCATGGAGTTTGTCCATTCACATGTGAGCCTTCAGGGACAGTTGATGCTAGTTGATGGAAGTGCTCAGATGGGCCTGGGTTGAAGTTAATCTTAAACAAACACAGCTTTGCAGGACCGTGATTATGGGGGCCATGGGCCTGGTATGGGGTCTGTACCTAGCACTAATGGCTCACTATCCCACTAGTATTGGCAAAAGGTCTATCTGGTGTTGGATGTTCTCTGTCAAGGTTGTCCTTTCAACCACATTTCTTTTAGATGGAGTATGGGTTACCATTTATACCATGTACAGTGAGGTAAAAAAGTATTTGATCGCCTGCTGATTTTGTACGTTTGCCCACTGACAAAGAAATGATCAGTCTATCATTTTAATGGTAGGTTTATTTGAACAGTGAGAGACAGAATAACAACAACAAAATCCAGAAAAACGCATGTCAAAAATGTTAGAATTTGATTTGCATTTTAATGAGGGAAATAAGTATTTGACCCCCTCTCAATCAGAAAGATGTCTGGCTCCCAGGTATCTTTTATACAGGTAACGAGCTGAGATTAGGAGCACACTCTTAAAGGGAGTGCTCCTAATCTCAGCTTGTTACCTGTATAAAAGACACCTGTCCACAGAAGCAATCAATCAGATTCCAAACTCTCCACCATGGTCAAGACCAAAGAGCTCTCCAAGGATGTCAGGGACAAGATTGTAGACCTACACAAGGCTGGAATGGGCTACAAGACCACCGCCAAGCAGCTTGGTGAGAAGGTGACAACAGTTGGTGCGATTATTCGCAAATGGAAGAAACACAAAATAACTGTCAATCTCCCTCGGCCTGGGGCTCCATGCAAGATCTCACCTCGTGGAGTTGCAATGATCATGAGAACGGTGAGGAATCAGCCCAGAACTACACGTGAGGATCTTGTCAATGATCTCAAGGCAGCTGGGACCATAGTCACCAAGAAAACAATTGGTAACACACTACGCCGTGAAGCACTGAAATCCTGCAGCGCCCGCAAGGTCTCCCCTGCTCAAGAAAGCACATATACAGGCCCATCTGAAGTTTGCCAATGAACATCTGAATGATTCAGAGGAGAACTGGGTGAAAGTGTTGTGGTCAGATGAGACCAAAATCGAGGTCTTTGGCATCAACTCAACACGCCGTGTTTGGAGGAGGAGGAATGCTGCCTATGACCCCAAGAACACCATCCCCACCGTCAAACATGGAGGTGGAAATGTTATGCTTTGGGGGGGGTTTTCTGCTAAGGGGACAGGACAACTTCACCGCATCAAAGGGACGATGGAGCCATGTACCATCAAATCTTGGGTGAGAACCTCCTTCCCTCAGCCAGGGCATTGAAAATGGGTCGTGGATGGGTATTCCAGCATGACAATGACCCAAAACACACGGCCAACGCAACAAAGGAATGGCTCAAGAAGAAGCACATTAAGATCCTGGAGTGGCCTAGCCAGTCTCCAGACCTTAATCCCATAGAACATCTGTGGAGGGAGCTGAAGGTTCGAGTTGCCAAACGTCAGCCTCGAAACCTTAATGACTTGGAGAAGCTCTGCAAAGAGGAGTGGGACAAAATCCCTCCTGAGATGTGTGCAAACCTGGTGGCCAACTACAAGAAACGTCTGACCTCTGTGATTGCCAACAAGTGTTTTGTCACCAAGTACTAAGTCATGTTTTGCAGAGGGATCAAATACTTATTTCCCTCATTAAAATGCAAATCAATTTATAACATTTTTGACATGCGCTTTTCTGGATTTTGTTGTTGTTATTCTGTCTCTCACTGTTCAAATAAACCTACCATTAAAATTATAGACTGATCATGTCTTTGTCAGTGGGCAAACGTACAAAATCAGCAGGGGATCAAATATCTTTTTCCCTCACTGTATGTGTTGTTATAAACAGCCCCCCCAAAAAAAGCCTTTACAAAGTATCTGTCATCTACCACTTCATCATAAGGTTTCAGTGCCATTGATACCCAGAAAGTGAGTGATTTTTGCCTTTGGGCCGATGCACTGTATTTCAAGTCCCCTTCATTCAGCATTTTGATATGTCCCTATCATCTGCCACCTCAGACATCTCTGCCTTTTATGTGGCCTGTTGGGCCATAGCTCATAAAGGCAGTGGAGGAAAAATGTATCCCTGGGAGGAAGGGATGGAGGGAGAAGGTGGAGGAGGCCTAATGGTTGGGACTCTGGGGAGATATCAAACAGGCTTAGATTTGACCGTGTGCCAGGATCCTTGGGTGCCTCCCCCTCACACAGCCATCCCTGACCCATCACAGTTGGAGTTCAGCACCTCATCTCTTACTTTCCTCTTCTCTTCTTTCCTCCCCTTCCAACCCAACGCCCCCTCCTTGAGAAGCCCTGTCATCAGGCCCTGACCTGGGGCCTGTGTTATGCTATTCATGTATTCAGAGCTGGTTCTCTCACTCAGAAACAAATATGTGCATTCATAAAGCACTTCCCCCGAATTTTAAGAGCATTATGTTAAAAGAGGAATCTACATAATGCACACCCTTTACCACAAACCACAACAGTTTTATAATTAAATATATGCATTCAAGCAAAAATAGAGCCTCTAAATAATTTAGTGTGCTCCTATTAGTTTATTATGGAATAACCTGCACTCTGTAGTTGTTAGACACTGTGTCCACTGACATAATTAAAATGGGCAATCAGATGTCAATAGAATTTTGGGCCATATATCTCATAAATATCCTTCACCCAAAACTACCACACCTGGCGCCCCGTCGCCCACAGCCAGACAGACTCCCCATTAAATCCCTAACGTTAGTTCAATGTCTTTTTAAACACTACTGTAGTTGGGATAACTATTGCTGTGGTTACAATTATCAATGGACATTTAATTGACATCTTATACAGTGCGATGTCTGCTATAATTTAATATGAAGTGTCTCTTTATGTGTAGTCTATGTTGATTATGTGGAGAAACTGTTATGTGGCTACTGTACTGCTGAGGTTTTAAAAGTTGTTCGAAATTATGTATTCTCAATATGAGTGTTGGGTTCAGTGCTTCCTTATTCTGCATTTCAATAGCACCCTGTCAACTTTTTATATACAAATACGCTTTATGGATTAAAGGGCCATTTCCAAACCCCACGGCACGCCACATAGAAATGTCTCCCTTTGTCGCAGGCTTTGCTGCCTTTGAAAGAAGACGCAGGCTCATTGTGATGCCTAGAATTGGATTATCTTAAATACTTTATTGCCTTATTGATTTACTCATGCTTTCCATTAGCACTGAAGTGAGTGGGAGAACCACATTCATTTGGCAAAGTTAATTTGAGGAGGAAAAGATAAACTCCACAAAACTTTACTCATTATCCAACATTTTAGGACATAGCACTGATATCATTGAAATTGAAATGTCATAACTATTGCATTGAAATGAGTTGTCAAATATGTTTTATCAAGGAAACATGTGGTCCTTGAAAGCAGGTTCAATTAATTACCTGATCTGTGCTCTGCTTAATTCTGTCTAAACATGAACTCATAATTAACACCCCACTATTGTTGATTAGTTCCATACGTAGTGACCAATCAAATATGTATCTGTGCTGTGTTGTGGAATAAATATATATTTACTTCTGAATGACATCAATGTCTTCATCCTAATTCCATTGTGCTTTCATCTGAGATTTTCTCATCAAAACAGATGTTTTTGTGTAACAAAGGGAACATAACTGGCACCAGCATCAAAACATAAACATTTTGTTCATTTTGGCTGTTGTTGGACCACATAGCTTGTTAAAAATATCTGTTTATTTTTTAAATGATACATATAAAAGAGAAGTTCATGGTCTCCAGAAGCAAGGGGTTGGGGAGTAGAGAGACTATATAAAGCTAAACCACTAGTCTGTAGCCCACCATGGAAAGTCTCTTTCACTTTGGACCCATTTGGCAGGTTAGCATGTGGGCTAATGCAGCCTTCCATGTCCACAGTCACACTTGATGACAGTGGTTCCAGGAAAGGGAAAAGTACATTAGGTTTGTTAGTCATAGTTGTGACGTGCAGTGTGACACGTTCAACCTCAGAATGAACAATTATTCATTTCCACTGATTTGTGCTCTGTGCTTTGTCCCTCAGGCCCTTGGAGTTGCACATCCTTAACAGTGTTCAGTGTAAATGATGGCTTAACTCTGTGGCATGATCCATTGCCACCCTGTCTTCCAGCAGAATAACAGTCTGATCCATGGGAGACGAGAGTGAGAGGCGTTTGCGCTCCCAGTAGCCGTCATGGTTGCCTGAGACAGCACAGGGTTTCCTTGCTATCTGGGATCCTGGCTACATCCCTACCTCATTGAAGTGGACATTTAAAATGGTTAAGGTAAGGGTTTAAGGTTAAGGTTAGGGTTAGGGTTAGGGTTAGGGTTAGGGTTAGGGGTTAAGGTTAGTGTTAGGGTAGGGAGGTCCCAAGGATCCAGGATAGCACTAACCTTTTTCTTTGGCATCTCCCTGACTTCACTTATCTGTCTGGCTGGAGAGAGATGGGTAGGAGATAGAGTGAGGACCTGAAGCCAGGCCAAGACATGAACACAGTTCTCTCTCATGCTCCTGGGCTGGAGGTGAGAAACAACACCAAACCACTGGATCTTGTCATAGTCTGTTAGGCTGACAGAACCAACCCAAGGCCCAGTGGCGGCAGAAGAACTGTGTACGGAATTAACAGCCGCCATTACTATTTCATTGAATCTCGCTGCCAATAATTGCAGTATGGGTTTTTTATGACATGTTTTTCTCCTGTTTTGGCTCATTTACTTTGCTGAAACATTAGTGTAGCCTGTGCGAGGTTGTTCCAAGGTGTCCCCTGTGTGTCCCCTGCACAGCCAACACTGTGTGACATAGATATGCTTCCCTGCTGCTCATCAGCCTTGAGAACAGCTTGTGCCTGCAGCTTTTCAGAGCGGTGAGATGGCTGCACAGATTAACAAGCACCTATATAGTTGATAGAAATGAACACTCAACTCAGCTCTCCTAGATCACCCCATTAATTTGACCGCACATGCAAACAGAGCATTTGCTCAATTTCTGATGACCCAGGATGAGTACCTCGATGAGGGATCAGGTCTCAATGCCTAATTATTAAGCCATTATCTAAACAACAGAAAACAGTAACAATGCATTGTGTTCAAGTCAGGTAAGAAAATTCAGAAGAAGCAGCACATGCAGAGAATAGGCCATGTTTTGTTGTGTTTTCTAATAGTTCTTCTGAGGCTCATTGTTTCAGTTGCGAAAAGAGGAGTCAACTGCATTAAACTGAATGAAGGGACTCCTGAATGAACAGCAATGAAAGGATGGCAGTACAATGTGCAAACGCTGGCTAATACTGATGTTTTGCCCATGTTCATGGAGCCATGTCCTACCCTGCAAGGATATTTATTTTTACCAGGGTAACCCGATTAGACCAAAGTGTATCTGAAATTAAAGCTTCAATATTAGACATTGAATGTGTCCAGGCCATTCAGCTTTTGACTGTGGAACAGGGTAGTGTTTATTTTAAGTGCATCACTATGTTTGCTGGCTGGTGGCAGCATCATTCAGTGTCCCTGTGTCCTCTCTCTCTCTCTGTGCAACCTCTCCTAGAATTGAACGAAGCTGTTTTCAGATAGCATTAGGGTCCCTTGTGTTGCAGGTTCTAGGACACGTCTGCACCTTTCATATTCACTCTGTGTGGTGCCTAAAGCATTAACAACCTCATAAGAATACCCTGTACCACAATGATTAAGCACATTGATTTTTCTGTAATTGCTATGCTTCACACTCTTCTGGGGGCTGCGGATAGCGAGAACATTGGTTATTTAAGGAATAATGGCTAAGCGCTATTTACATTACTCTGTTTGTAAAAGAAAGGGTAATTAGGTGAGAGAGCGAGGGATGAGCCACTGCATCTGGCCCCCAATGAGAGGCTCTGTGTGTGTGATTAGCTGCCAAGAACACCCCCAGATGGCACCTATTACCTGGGCGCATTAATTAAAGATCCAAGCAAGCCCCCTGCTTTAGAGTCATGCACGGGCCTGAGGACACTGGCTGATGGCTGGCTGCCGGGCTCTCCCTCACTATAAGCTGGGCCGGCTGCATTGTAGCATCGGTAGCCTCTCAGCTGCATCGGGTGTGTGCCACATGGCTGTAGTCGTGACTGTAGTCGTGACTGTAGTACTGACCAACAATTGGAGTCACACTCACACGTTAGGAATAAGCACTTTCTTTTAGCAGTGCTATAGACAGCATTGTAATGGAGTTTGGTTTCCCACAGGCACACGCGAACAGTGGAGAGGGGTAGTAGTCGTGGTGCAGTGAAGAGTCAGACGGCCGTCGGTTTAGAGGTTCCCATGAAACGGCGTGTCCAAGGTAAGTGTCCATTTCCTATAGTTCTGGGGCATTTAGCAATTAGTTCGAGGAGGAAGGAGGTGATAGGGATTGGCAACAGCGGTCACAATGTCACTTTAGTCAATGCCAATCTGTGGAATCACAGCACACCATACAAAGCAAGCAAATTGTCCATGCAATTAAATTACATTTCACACATGACATTGTAAGAAGTTAAGTGAAAGGCAATAGTTGTAAGTAACACACAGCACACAGGATTACAAGGCACTCATAAGCGCATGATAGCGAATAATAAGACATGCTGATACGTAATATAATAAACATGATGATAATATAGAAGGCAGTCTCTAGTTTAGCAAGAGTCAGTGTCACTTGTGACAAATACATTTTATTTGTAGCTGTAGCTCAGTTGGTAGAGCATGGCGCTTGCAACGCCAGGGTTGTGGGTTCGTTTCCCACGGGGGGCCAGTATGAAAATGTATGCACTCACTAATTGTAAGTCCCTCTGGATAAGAGCGTCTGCTAAATGACAAAATAAAATAAAAATAAAAAATAAAATATTTGATGATCTAGGACATTCAACCTATCATCATGTATTTATAGAATACTTATTTTTGCTTACGTGAGATTCAGTGTTTAGAGTTACTTTTTTCTATGGCTGTTAAAGAGGATTGCCTGATCTGTTGCTATCTCTGCACCGTGCCAAGCACATGGCACACGCACCTTCACAGAAGGTGTCAATCCGATCATGTAAATACTCCATATTACACATCTTACATGACAGGCCCAATGCAAAGACTTTGCATAACCGGTCTTTCCCCCACAAATCACTCATGTAAACGGTGCCAAAGCGCTCATGGGAAATGTTGGTATTGTGTGAGCCTGTAACTCTCAACGCACTGCATCGCATCATATGGGAGGCTTCAATAGAAAGCTGAAATCCCTCGCCTCTCCACACTGACTCTACAAAATTATGTGGATATTTAGGGGTAATCCAAGCTATTTTATCCGGCAGAGACAGAGGCGAGGGAGAGAGCGATGGAGGAGCTGTGGCTAAATGTGTCTGGGAGAGAGGGAGGGAGCGCCACAACAGAGCAGGTACACAGCTGCTTGGTGATAGATAACAAATTGTCACAGCGGAGGTAACATGCACCAGGGCACTGTAGCATTCATTTGCTAATTTCTAAATGTTCCACCCAGTAGAAGTAGTGAGTTTGTTGTTGCACTGTAATTAATATCTCCCCTTTTTTCAGCTAACAGGTAGGCCTAGGCTGTTCCAGCGCATACGTTAGTACTGACTTCTCTTCTTGTTTGAGACTGAAGAGGGATGCACAGTCAACCATTTCAGATTTCCCTTGCTGCTACCCCCATCAACACCTAAAATATAGCTCACACCTTCCATGTCATTCAGCCGCCATGGTCAGCAGGAACTGAGATTACTTCTGACAAAGACTGATCTCTTGGCCGTGAATACATCTGTAACAGAGAGTGAAAATCTCATGTTAAATCCCGTTATAATAAGAGAAGCAGGGACTGGACACTGGGAGGTGTTGTTCCTATAGGAGCCTGCTCTGGCCGCATGTCAAAGCTGAAATATTTATGGTGGAACATTGAAACCCATTCAATATTAACGTCTGGGTGCTCTGGAATGGACCGTACATCTCAAAAGTGGGGTAGAAAAAATATAGTATGTGGTCTGGAATTCATCCCTTGGTATTTGCATGGACCAGGCTCACCCTTGTCACAGCACCTAACACTTTCAGAAAAAATCACTGATACACACTGATACACACAATGCAGTAAAGCACACAGCTATCTATTATCAATAAATGTAAAGCATCTCTTTGACATAATTTAGTGTGCAGATTTCCTCTTAAGTATTATGTCACTGTATGAGAAGAGATAAGGGGTAATATGATGTCTATTGAAAAGTGCTATTAGTGTCCTGTGATTTTACTCATTTAGATTTCTCACAAAGCTATGCCCTCGACCAGTTAGGGGTCAGAAGCTGTCAAATGTATGATTATGTGAATTTATATGAGCAAAAACTCTACTCAACCTCACTCTTATGTTTTGACACAACACATGTATGTTCATATTTTAGTGTCTGTACTTGAAGAGTATCCCACAAACTGTATTACCATAACCATTTGCTTTGAGTAAAATATGCACTATTGGATTGACATTCACATTTCCATTTTATTTCAATCAATAGAGATAATTTGTATAACTAGAGAGCCCTAGAATTACATGGACAATACAATGAAGTTAAACATTTATCCCTAACATTGTCTTTTCACCATACACATTTTGAGAAAATGTCCCTCCTTCAATTGTGTATTTTCCTGTCACCGTGAATATTCTTTCCCTGGAACGATTGCCAAACCATGACAGCCTATTTCAACTTTGTCTAAGAGTACTTAGCATTCCAAATACATTTATTACCATGGAAATTGAGCCATTATCCTCTGCAACAAGTAATTTACTTTCAATAGAGATATTGAGATTTTGTCTGAAAAAGCTTTGTCCTAAAACTATTGGACAAATGTATTCCACCCTAGTGTACAACACAGCCGATCTAAATGAATCATAATCAACCAACCAACAAGCAAAACATAATTGTCCTTTTGTAATGAGTATGAACTACTGACATAAAGCATTAGCATTGTCAGGACATTACCTATTCTGGAAAAACTGAAAAGCTTTAGTTGGTGTCTACTGATCAGGTCAGGCAGACATGAAAAACCTTTGGCCCTGAGAATACAAACTTATTGGCGCCTTGTTTCACAGGCTGTAGTGTTCCCATGTACAGCGCATTCGGAAAGTATTCAGACCCCTTGACTTTTTCCACATTTTGTTATGTTACAGCTGTAGCCTTATTCTAAAATTGATTAAATTGCGGCCTCCGGAGTGGCGCAGTGGTCTAAGGCATCGCAGTGCCACTAGAGATCCTGGTTCGAATCCAGACTCTCTCGCAGCCAGCCGCACCCATTGGGCGGCGCACAATTGTCCAGGTTAGGGGAGGGTTTGGCCAGCAGGGGTATTCTTGTCCTATCATGCACTAGCGACTCCTGTGTCGGGCAGTGCATGCTGACACGGTCGCAAGGTGTACGGTGTTTCCTCCGACACATTGGTGCGGCTGGCTTCCGGGTTAAGCGGGCATTGTGTCAAGAGGACGCACGGCTCTTGACCTTCGCCTCCCGAGTCCGTACGGGAGTTGCATCGATGGGACAAGACTGTAACTACCAATTGGGATATCACGAAATTGGGGGTAAAATCACACCAAAAATGTTTATCAATATACACACAATGGCAAAGCAAAAACAGGTTATTATAAATTTTTGCAAATGTATTAAAAAATATATGTATATGGTTCCAAACTTCTTCCATTTACGAATGATGGAGGCCACTGTGTTCTCGGGGACCTTCAATGCTGCAGAAATATTTTGGTACCCTTCCCCAGATCTGTGCCTTCAACACAATCCTGTCTCGGAGCACTATGGTCAATTCTTTCGACCTCATGGCTTGGTTTTTGCTCTGACATGCACTGTCAACTGTAGGACCTTATTTAGACAGGTGTGTGCCTTTCCAAATCTTGTCCAATCAATATAATTTACCACAGGTGGACTCCAATCAAGTTGTAGAAACATCTCAAGGATGATGAATGGAAACAGGATGCACCTGAGCTCAATTTTCGAGTCATAGCAAAGGGTATTTCAGTTTTTGATTTTTAATACATTTGCAAAAAATGTCTAAAAACCTGTTTTCGCTTTGTCATTATGCGGTTTTGTGTGTGGATTGATGAGGGGGAAAAATTATTTAATCCATTTTAGAATAAGGCTGTAACATAACAAAATGTGGAAAAAGTGAAGTGTTCTGAATACTTTCCAAATGCACTTTATTTACTTTGAAACACCATCACATCTGATGCCATTTTAGTCCCATAAGGTGTAGTTATTTTTAACGAGTGCAGATTAGCTTCCCGTTCACCCCTCCAGCCCTGGACCATCCTAGCTACCCCTGTATCATTCCCCTTCCCTACCATCCAGCCCCTGCCCACCCTAACCACCCCACTGTCCCTCCCCCAGGCATGGTCTATGGATCCCAGGCATGACATGGACCTGCCAAACATCAGCTCAGTCAGATCCCCCAAGCTGACAAGACAATCCATCTTCACCTGCTGCAGAGTAGCTTTACACCAGGATCTGTCATCAGCCCCCTCCCTCCACCGCCCTCTGCCAAGGAGAACTAAAATATAACTATTTAAAATATCCTCTGCCCTCTAATTGTCAGCAGTGAGGTAAAAAAAGGAATCTTCATAATAGACAGAGTCAACATTTATTTTGGTTAGTCTGGTGCTACAGCGACTAGGTCTCAAGTATGCCCACTACTTCTACAGCAACAACCTGTACTGAAACCCTCCCTTATCCACTTTGTCCTTCCTTACTACTTCTACCACCACACAACTAATAACTATAACCATATGATAGTAATAAAGAAGGGCTGTAATAATTTAATCCAGTATATTTAGAGGGCAAACACTGAGGTCCTGAATGTTCACACAGTGCCATAGAGCCAATAAGCAGTGTCAGGCTTGCAGCACTAACAGGATTAAGCACCAGGAGTTGATGTCTTTTACGGCCGCTGGCAGGCTCGGGCCTGGAAATAATGGGATCAGTTCCCCAGCACTTCATCACGGGAGAAACCACCTCTTCCCACATTAGCTCTCCGTGAGAGGCTCCGCTGCATGCGTAGGCCCACAGTCGCACTGGAAAACACCGTGAATAAATTGTAAAAAAGCAATGACAACACGGATAAATACACATTGAAACAACAAACAGTTTCCAGAGGGGAGTATTTCACACGAACGAGTGACAAACATTTTAACAAACACACGGCCTCAGAAAGGTTCATGGAGCAGTCAATTACCTGTCTGTGAGCACACTGTGTAACTGACTGACCAACTAACAGCAGGCAGCCTTACAGCACAAGGTTCATGCAATTGGTACATATTGTAATGAAAAGGAAAGTTAATGCGAATGTAAGATTTCTTCAGAAATGTCTCTTGCCATGTTCATAATTAGAGGGGTTCTTCCTCCAACTATATATTTTTCATCTGCTGTAAGTTAAAAGGGAACGGTGGCTACCTGCGTTGCAGATTATGTAAAAGAGGGTAAAACTAGAGGAAAGATTAACATGAAGGGTTATGAAGGTGGATCATTAGGAGTTAGTGGGATATAATGAGATTCGCTTTGATGCCACGGTGCTCAGAAGAGATTTGCCAGATGGCAAGCGCATTCTTTGATTGTCAAATCACAAGCCTTACAGTCACAAAAATAAATATACATGAAATATGTCACAACGGCTAAGGACAGGAGGAAGATCAAGGCTCAGCCTTGGAGTCACATTCCACCCCATACAGTGAGCATCTTGTGCATAAGCAGGACATGGAGTGTCATTGAAATTTATCAATGAGGACAATGCATGTGTTATGGAATGATTCAATCCCTGTAAAGATGTTTAGCACATTGTTAGTTTGTGATTACAGTTGGGTTGACTGTACCTAGACATAACACACATTGATTTGAAGTTTGCTATTTATCCAAACAACAAAAAACACACAACACAACAAGTATATCATAAAAGTGCAATACATAGGATACAATATGACAAATAGAGTACAACATGCATAAGTCCAATGTTTGCTCAGCATCAGCAGTTCTATGTGCTTATCTTCTTAGCAATCCATTTTCTTGTGCAGGTGAAATGTGAAGGTCAGAGGTTTGGAAGCATATAATTAAAAGGATCTCTGTGTTTGTAAATTCAGAATCGAAATTGGTTTAGCCAGTTATGCTAGAATACATATAGCTAGCTATATAAGAAAGGGTGGAACATGTTTGCATGCATTTTTTTTTTTACTATCATAGAGCTTTTGCTTGCTTAGGCTCTGGCCAGCATTTTTCATAGATATCGTTCACTACTTATGGAACCAGCAGAAATGTTCATACACACTGATAACTGTGTGGGTTGTTTACAATGGAAAGGTTGTGCATCGTGTTTGTAAGAGCGTACTGTAACTCGACATTATAAATTACCAGTAAATCTGTCAATAAGTGGAATTGCATCATCTACAGTGCTATGAAAAAGTATTTGCCCCCTTTCTAATTTTCTCTACTTTTGCATATTTGTGATACTGAATGTTATCAGATCTTCAACCAAAACCTAATATTAGATAAAGAGAACATAAGTGAACAAATAACAATGCAAATAACAATGCACTGGAGCCATGTCGTCCAAAAAGTTATACTTTTGAATCATCTGTCCATAGAACGTTCTTCCAAGAGTCTTGATGATCTTCCAGGTGCTTTTTGGCAAACTTGAGTCAACTTTTTGGACGACATGGTTCCAGTAATGCCTGGCGAAAACCAAACACTGCATTCCACAGTAAGAACATCATACCAAAGGTCAAGCATGGTGGGAGTGTGATGGTTTGGGGATGCTTTGCTGCCTCAGGACCTGGACAACTTGCCTTAATAGAAGGAACCATGAATTCTGCTCTGTATCAGAGAATTCTACAGGAGAATGTCAGACCATCCGTCTGTGAGCTGAAGCTGAAGCGCAGCTGGGTCATGCAGCAAGACAATGATCCAAAACACCCAATCAAGTCGACATGAAAATTGCTAAAAAGCAACAAATTTGAAGTTTTGGAATGGTCTAGTCAAAGTCCAGACCTAATCCCAATTGAGATGTTGTGGCAGGACTTGAAACGAGCAGTTCATGCTTGAAAACCCACACGTCACTGAGTTAAAGCAGTTCTGCATGGAAGAGTGGGCCAAAATTCCTCCACAGCGACGTGAGAGACTGATCAACAACTACAGGAAGCATTTGGCTGGAGTCATTGCAGCTAAAGGTGGCACAACCAATTATTGAGTGTAAAGGGGCAATTACTTTTTCACACAGGGGAATTGGGTGTTGCATAACTTTGTTTATGAAATAAATGAAATAAATATGTAATTGTTGTGTTATTTGTTCACTTATGTTCCCTTTATCTAATATTAGGTTTAGGTTGAAGATCTGATAACATTCAGTATCAAAAATATGCAAAAGTAGAGAAAATTAGAAAGGGGGCAAATACTTTTTCATAGCTCATTGGTCATTCATGGCCTTCTGAACAGTGGTAGCACTGTAACTTTACAGTATGAATTGCTACACTTACATGGTATATTATGCCTGAATGGTGCAGTCAGACCTTTGATTATTTTGTGCCACCAGTGCCACAATAATTTGCCCCCTCTCTGATTGTCCGAGTGTTACCCCCTTCCCATGGGTTACTGGAGCTAGTGTTGCCACTACCTGCCAGTACCTGGGTGGGGGCACCCCACCGGAATCCCCACCGGCTAAGGTACAAGGTCGTCAAGGTTCTCATTGGCAGCTTTGAGAAATTCCTTGTATATTATGTTCACCCATCATGGTGCTTTGGCTTTGTACGACCAACCCTGCCAGGCAGGCTCAGAATCATGAGGGGCGGTGCTGCTTTAGTGGGTCTCTGACCGCATTTATCTTTCTGTTTTGACTGCTTATAGGCTACTTACAGTAGGCCCATAAAACAGATAAGGCCTTCTCCTTAGTGTATGGGTCACTCAGGTGGGTGTCTAGGGTATAGGGTTGGGGACCATTCCATCATGACAGGACAGTAATAAATGAACTATATTTATAATTTATTAAAAAATGTATATCCTTTGTCTGCACAAAATTGAAACCCCTCTCTCACAACCCTTGCTCGCAGACACATATGGGCTCTGGGATTTGCAACCATTTCCCTTTTTCACTCACTTTACTCCACACTTTTCCAAACACAAAAACACACACCTTCATCACAATACACACGCACATACCCTCATACTGTGCCTTCTATGTCCTCAGTGTTTTTATGCCTACCATGTTGATTCTGAGTACTTTTGTGTTCCAGTTCCTCATTTTTTAAGATGTATTATTTCGCTAATTATCCTTTCTTCTAATGCTGTCTTATCTATTTATACAATACTATAAATAGAAAGTTGAAAGTCAATCAGCCAATTGGCCTTTCCTTAATATTAATGACCCCTCTCTCTCCCCCTCCTATATCATATTATTCTGGGGAGGTAGAGTATGCTGAACAAGAGAACTACACATTCTTCCTACCTCATTCCAACCTAGAAAGGCTGCTATTACATTTGCAAAAAAAACAGCAATTAATGCGAGTGAATAGAAATAGGCACAGGAGAGAGATGAGGAGATGATGTCTGCTTTGATGGAGGGTTTCTAAGCGCGCTCGGCTCCTTTCATGTATAATAAGGTAAAAACACATGTTTTCTCTCAAGCAGGTATTTCATTAGCAGTCCTCCTGGCCTAATCAGTATGCACTCTAGGACCTGATTTCACTATGTTTATCCAAAGGCTTCAAGACAATGGTGACAGTGGTGTAGTGGTCCCTGGAGAAGTGGGTATACTCTCAGTATTCACCTTTTTTTTTTTTAAGTAGTCCAGAAAAAAGCCCTGTTTTAGAAACAGTGACATGTAAGACTATGATTTAGTTTACCCAAAAATATGTAATTTCTACTTGCACACTATTATAAAATGATCATGACTTGATTAGGAGCAGTTTGTAGTTACTACTGGTCACAAGAGCAGCCTGGATGAATGTAAAATGTATTTATCATGAGGCAAACAGGAAATGGTGTTTCGATTATTTTTTGCACATTTATTTAAATAAAATACTTCAAATCTGAAGGTGACAATGCATCCTTGTTCATATTGCTATATGCTTTGTTTTGAACATGTTCATTTACCGGTAAATCATTCAACAAAATATGTTACAACAATATTTAGTTAACAATTAACAAAAATATATGCATTAACAACACATCAACAGTGATATACTCTCTCAACCCAGCACTGGGTTTCTGACCTTTGCTCATACTACAGTATATTCCAGACAAATTTGCTTTCTGCAGGAGCTTTCACACTGCACTGTCTAGAACGCACCGAAGAGGCAGCACGATGGCTCTTCAACCAGGTCCTTGTATATTTTCTAGGATCAAACTTGGAAGTTGGTGGGCCGTTGATATTAATCATCATCAAGTTTGATATGTTTGAGATCAGAAGGACAGCCCTCTTGTCTGAGCTTATATTGTTCATAAGGCTAAAATTCCTCTCACACTCTGCTGTACCGACAGGGAATGTTTTCATACAGTTCATAAGTGGTTTTAGGTCCTTGGGCTCACTACTGGGCTCTTCCAGTAGGTCCCGCATCCCATTCAGTGCTTGGTCTGTGCACAAGTTAAATCGCTTGCACAGTCGCTTAACTTGTTCTTCACCATGGCGGATGCTGGGCTTTGATGGCCACTTACTCTGATCAAGGATGCTGAGGTCCATGATGGTCTCATCTTCAAAAGACAAGCGTTTCTCCAGATTGTTCACAAGGCTTTGTAAGAACTGGCCTGGATTGATAGACTTCAGCTTTGCATTTGTTTTCAGGGCTATAGACCGATACTCCCCAGTCTGTTTTGCTTCTAAAGCCTCACTATATTTCTCACCTGGACTCTCTTTGAATGACTGGATCACTCTGATTGAGCGTTTCAGCAGATGCTCTGCTCTGAGGAGCGTTATAGAACGAGACTGAAGCTCCTGTGACAGGAGACTTAGTTCATGGAGAGTGTCGTACATGAGGCCAAGGTCACAAATGAATTCTGGACTTTGAACACGGTCTAACAAACCTCTGTACATCTGCCTCTCTTTGGTGGACCTCATCTCATCACTGCAAGCATTTTTAAAGTGCTGCACAAGAGCTCCCAGGGATGTCCAAACAGCACGAACAGTCCGAAAGCTACTGGCCACCCAGCGTACATCCAAGATTCTGCCAATGCGAAGAAGTTGTGAGCCTACTTCAGCTGCTGCATTAACAAGTTCACGTTCATTTTTGTTTGACACACTATACAGAGAGTATAGCTTCTGGGTAAAAGTTTTAAAGTGATTGACAGAGTTTACCTCATCAACTGCATCTGACACAGCAAGTTCAAGTCTATGGTTCATGCAGTGCCATACAAAAAGCTTTGGGAATCTCAAAGTCAGTCTGGTTGCTACTCCTGACTTCTTTCCTAGCATGACACTGGCTCCATCAGATACAAATGTTACCCAGTTTTCATGAAGCCACTCTTCTGTAAAGCCAGCATTAGTTAAACAGGTGAGTAACGCCTGTAATATGCCATCTGCTCTCTGATTTTCCAGTTCAACAAGTTCCAGGAATATGAACTCAGGGCTTTCTTCTTGAATTGATGCTTTAATAGAAACTGTCATGACAGCTTTGTGACTTAAAGAAGATGCCTCGTCAATTAGGACAGCTAACTTACTGGATGATGCTATAATGCTACTGATGATTTTGCTCTGCATCTCACTAGCAACATGTTGTATTATTTGTGTTGCACTGTAACGTGAATGAAGTATTGAGCCCATTTTTACACCATTCAGTTCCTGCAGCTCAATGAGGCTCTCATGGTCAGAAAAGGGTCGGTTCTTTTTGGCCAGATGGTAGGCTGTTCGAAACACAGCTTCAGTTTCCTTCATGTAGGACTCAGTCATAGTCTCCACTGCATTCTCAATGGCAGCTTCTTTCTGTTGCTCTGCCACCTTCACAGCCTGAGTGTGGGCCTTGGACAACGCATGTTTCCTCACCTTATTTCTCAAGATTGACAAACTTGTTGTTCTACTTCCCTGGCCAGACACTTGAATTTCAAAGTTCATCCATTCTCTTGAGAGCGATACACCTTGTCCTTGCTCCTTGTCGATCCCAATGGAGTTCACACTGCTACAGACCAGACTTCCTGCGAAGCATAAACAAACAATGTAACTACTCCTGTATCCACAGCTGTACGTGTGCATGGTCCTTTACACACACACACACACACACACACAAAGTTATCTGTGCCCACTGTTTCAGAAGTTACCCAAACTAGCAATCTACCTAAACTTACCCAATTTTTTGTTTTTGGATCCCAACCAGGGGTTCTTGGATTTGAAGTCTTCTGTTTGTTTAGCACTCCACAGGTCTGGCCAGTCATTATTGATGTCTACAGACAACAACAAAACTAATTATGCATCTCCCTGTCTCTCTCTCTCTCACACACTTACACACACACACACACACACACACACACACACACTACTGTGATCACAATAGTCATCAGCAAGACATGGGTCCCCCTCTTTACATTAACAATCTGCATAACCAAGTGGAAATATTTTCAGCAAGTGAAGCTGAAGCATACAGGAGATTAGTGAGTGAAATACTTGGGAGAGTTTATTTAACAAAAAAACAACAAATTTAACACAAAATGTACAAAATGTTATATAACAGTAGCATTGTAAAAAACAAACATGGATACAGACAAAATAAATAGAAGGGCAATAAAATAAATAACATCACACAGAAATTCAAAATGAGGCTTAATCTGTCAAAATCACCTTTTGTTACAGTGTGAGGCTTCACTTTTCAATAAACTGGAGATGCAATTTACTGCCTGTGTGTTCTGACCTGGTGGTGGTAGACTGGATCCTTCTCTATGCTCACACTGACTTGCCTGGCTAGCTCCCGGTTGAGAGCTGCCAGGGCTGCTGGTTTTAGGGGTGGGGTCTGCCTGGGCCTGATCTGGGCCTGATTTGTGCCTCTTTACAAAAAAGTCTGCAATATCTCCCTTCCTTTTCATGGTTACCTGTCCCTATACAAAATAAGACAGCCTGATTAGACCTCAATATTGTTTTAGGCTGAATCTTAAACTATTTGTCCCCATTCTTGTGTTTTAACTTACTTAAAAATCAACTACCAGCTTAGCTACTATGCAATTAAACTAGATCATATAGGTTAGTTAGGGCTAAGTAACTTGGCTAATGTTATAATTTAGGGCTTAGTAACTTGGCTAACGTTATAATTTAGACCTTTACAATAATAAACAAGCTTCATAAACATTGAGATAATCAGTTTCATCAGTCTGGTATGAAATTCTTATGAACTGGGTTGATTAAACACTTACTGAAAACCAACAATGCCCCGGTTTCCCCACATTATCCCATTCTACGTAGCTAGCTTCATAACGTTAGCCGACTCGCACTAACTATTGGCGGCAACATCTCTTCTCCTCTAAATGTGCAGTCACTGGCAATTTGCCAGTAGTTTAAAATAATGATTCATTTGGAAACCACCTTAAAACTTACCTCAGAATGATGTCTTCCATCAACTGGGGTGGCACACCGCCGCTTGTGTCCTTTCTTCATCCGTTGTTTGGTCTGCTGCCGTTATCGTAGTCAAGTGGCACCGGCACCTGAGTTTTTTTTTTTTTTTTTTTCACTGGCACCTGAGGTATTAGCGATATTTTCCTCGGCATGACCCGCCCTACTCTGCCTCTGATTGGCTCATCAGTCCTCATGCCTAAAGTTAACCAATCTAATCAGTGAAAGCAGCGAGTACCAGCCAATTAGAGGCAGAGGAGGGTGGGTCATGGCTTCACTATCCCCGAGGAAGAAAATAGGCAATCTGACTCACAGATATTACTGAATGATGCGCATCAGGGGGGGATTTAGAAGTGGGTATACGCAATGCTGACTGAAAAATAAGTAGGTATACGCCGTATACCAGCGTATACCCTGGACTACACCTCTGAATGGTGACAGAAATTACAATAAGGTGAAGAGTGTGTCACATAGAATTCTGCCTGTGTGATAAGTGGAGGTGTATTGTGTTATTGCTCTGGGACTGTTTGATTAAGATTCATTGTTGAAATTAAACCATGAAAGGTAGCTTTCAGAGGAACCTCATACATATTAAAAGGGAATTCATGTGTTGTTGATATTTATAGTTGTTAATACTTTGTTGCTTACTTTTTTGTTAAAAGACCATGCAAGTGTAGCAATTTATTCTGTAAAGGGGTCGAGTGTGTATGAGTATGTGTGTGTGTATGTATCACACATCTGTTGCTATGGGGGAATGATGTTAGGGACTTGCAAAAGTATTCACCCCCCTTGGCATTTTTCCTATTTTGTTGCCTTACAAACTGGAATTCAAATTGATTTTTGGGGGATTTGTATAATTTGATTTACACAACATGCCTACAACTTTGAAGATGCAAAATATTTGTTATAGTGAAACAAACAAGAAATAAGACACAAAAACAGAAAACTTGAGCGTACATAACTATGGACAGATACTACAATCTCCGCTGTGGAGCTTTGCAGCTCCTTCAGGGTTATCTTTGGTCTTTTTGTTGCCTCTCTGATTAATGCCCTCCTTGCCTGGTCAGTGAGTTTTGGTGGGTGGCCCTCTCTTGGCAGGTTTGTTGTGGTGGCATATTTTTTCAATTTTTTAATAATGGATTTAATGGTGCTCCGTGGGATGTTCAAAGTTTTTTATATTTATTTATAACCCAACCCTGATCTGTACTTCTCCACAACTTTGTCCCTGACCAGTTTGGAGAGCTATTTGGTCTTCATGGTGCCGCTTGCTTGGTGGTGCCCCTTGCTTAGTGGTGTTGCAGACTCTGGGCCTTTCAGAACAGGTGTATATATACTGAGATCATGTGACAGATCATGTGACACTTAGATTGCACACAGGTGGATTTCATTTAACTAATTATTTGACTTCTGAAGGTAATTGGTTGCACCAGATCTTATTTAGGGGCTTCAATGCAAAGGGGGTGAATACATATGCACGCACCACTTTTCCGTTATTTATTTTTTAGAATGTTTCGAAACAAGTAATTTTTTTCGTTTCACTTCACCAATTTGGACTATTTTGTGTATGTTCATTACATGGAATCCAAATAAAAATCAATTTAAATTACAGGTTATAATGCAACAAAATAGGAAAAACGCCAAGGGGGATGAATACTTTTGCAAGGCACTGTAGCTAACCAACCAGCTAGCTAGCTAACATTAGGCTATAACTAGCAATGCAAATGGCTCTGAGATACAAATAATGTTACTACACAGAACATACACGTAACATTAGCTATCGAGCCAGCCAGCTAACGTTAGCTAACTAGCTAACAGTTCACTTTAACTTGAAATGAAAACGACTTTCTGACAAAATCTGAAACTTATAATATCTGAAAATGTAGCTAGCTAGACAATCTTACCCATATACATGGATGGACACTTCTCACTCTCTGTCACGGATGCCATTGTTGCCCTTAGTTTGAAGATATAATACGAACACAGCCTTCTGTGTGTTCTCTTTTCGACTCCCTCTGCATATTTGCAATCAAACACAATAATTTTCTCCATCTCCTTAGCTAGCATACTCTAATTCCACCTGGCATTCCACTGATTTCAAAACTTGGTCCTCCAGAAAGTGGAGAGCAACACTTTTGCAGTTCTACTACGTGATATCTTTCAAGAAAGCTGCGTTAGAAAGGTTTACCTACACATACTGACCAGCTCATGTTATAGACAGAAGCTTGCTACATGGCAGACCAATCCAAACTCATTTCTCGGCATATCCAGCCCATCCGTTATCTCAGACAATCATGGCTAGTTGGAAGGTTCCTGTCTTTTTCCGTGGCTAAACCAACTAGGCTCGTAATTTAACAATTGTATTCGTATTTACAGATGGCATACAAGTTTGTTATTAAGGCACATGAAAGTTCACCTGTTCCAAAAGGCATTTCTGCGAAAAAACTAATGTTAATTTGAAAAAAAGTTTATATTCAAATGCCTCTCCTGTGAAGTACTTTCCTGAAACAAGTCACATATAGGATGAATCACAATAGTTGTTTGCTAAAATAGTAATTGCTTGCCAAAAATGTAATTTTTGTAATGTCAATCCTGGTTATAGGTAACAATCTTTTGCATGAACTGCCTACATTATTATGCATATTATTCGTTAATTGTGGAAATTAAGATACAGAATATTTTTTTATATACAGTACCAGTCAAAAGTTTGGACACACCTACTCATTCAAGGGTTTATCTTTATTTTTACTATGTTCTACATTGTAGAATAATAGTGAAGACTATGAAATAACACATATGGAATCATGTAGTTACCAAAAAAGTGTTAAACAAATATTGTTCAAAATAGCCACCCTTTGCCATGATGAGAGCTTTACACACTCTTGGCATTCTCTCAACCAGCTTCATGAGGTAGTCACCTGGAATTCTTTTCCAACAGTCTTGAAGGAGTTCCCACATATGCTGAGCACTTGTTGGCTGCTTGTCCTTCACTCTGCGGTCCAACTCATCCCAAACCATCTTATTTGGGTTGAGGTCGAGTGATTGTGGAGGCCAGGTCATCTGATGCAGCACTCCATCACTCTCCATTTGGTCAAATAGCCCTTACACAGCCTGGAGGTGTGTTTCACTTTTAAATAAGTATTCAGACCTTTTACTCAGTACTATGTTGAAGCAACTTTGGCAGCAATTACAGCCTCGAGTCTTCTTGGGTATGACACTACAATCTTGGCACACCTGTTTTTGTGGACTTTCTCCCATTCTTCTCTGCATATCCTCTCAAGCTCCGTAAGATTAGACGGGGAGCACAGATATTTTCAGGTCTCTCAAGAGATGTTCGATCGGGTTCAGGACATTCAGAGACTTGTCCCGAAGCCACTTCTGCGTTGTCTTGGCTGTGTGCTTAGGGTCGTTGTGCTGTTGGAAGGTGAACCTTCACGCCAGTCTGAGATCCTGAGTGCTCTGTAGAAGGTTTTCATTAAGGATCTCTCTGTACTTTGCTCTGTTCATCTTTGCCTCAATCCTGACTAGTCTCCCTGTCCATGCCGCTGAAAAACCTCCCCACGGCATGATGCTGACACCATCATGCTTCACCGTAGTGATGGTGCCAGGTTTCCTCCAGACGTGACGATTGGCATTCAGCCAAAATAGTTGAATCTTGGTTTCATCAGACCAGAGAATGTTGTTTCTCATGGTCTGAGAGTCTTTAGGTGCCTTTTGGCAAACTCAAAGCAGGCTGTAATGTGCCTTTTACTGAGGAGTGGCTTCCGTCTGGCCACTCTACCATAAAGGCCTAATTGGTGGAGTGCTGCAGAGATGTTTGTCCTTCTGGAAGGTTCTCCCATCTCCACAGAGGAACTTTAGAGCTCTGTCAGTGACCATCGGGTTCTTGGTAACCTCTCTGACCAAGGGCCCTTCTCCCGCGACTGCTCAGTTTGGCCCGGCGTCCAGCTCTAGGAAGAGTCTTGGTGATTCCAAACTTCTTCTATTTAAGAATGATGGAGGCAACTGTGTTCTTGGGGACCTTCAATGCTGCAGAAATGTTTTGATACCCTTCCCTAGATCTGTGCCTCGACACAATCCTGTCTGGGAGTTCAACGGACAGTTCCTTCGACCTCATTGCTTGGTTTTTGCTCTTATATTCGCTGTCAACTGTGGGACCTTATATAGACAGCTGTGTGCCTTTCCAAATCATGTCCATTCAATTGAATTTACCACAGGTGGACTCCAATCAAGTTGTAGAAACATCTCAAGGATGATCAATGGAAACAGGATTAACCTGAGCTCAATTTCGAGTCTCATAGCAAAGGGTCTGAATACTTATGTAAATAATGTATTTATGTTTTTCTTTGTAATACATCTGCAAAAATTTCTAAAAACCTGTTTTCACTTTGTCATTATTGGGTATTGTGTAGATTGCTGAGGAAAATGTTTATTTTAATCCATTTTAGAATAAGGCTGTTACGTAACAACATGTGGAAAAAGTCAAGGGGTCTAAACACTTTCTGAAGGCACTGCATCAGTGGAGGCTCCTCAGAGGAGGAAGGGGAAGACCATCCTCCTCAGTGAATATTATAAAAATTTAAATTGTTATACATTTAACAATTTATCCTTTTTAGGTATAACTATACTAAATATAATCACGTCACCAAATAATTGATTAAAACACACTATTTTGAAAAAAAGGTCTACTGTAGCCTCAACAGCACTCTGTAGGGTAGCACCATGGTGTAGCCGGAGGACAGCTATCTTCCACCCTCCTCTGAGTACATTGACTTCAATACAAAATCTAGGAGGCTCATGGTTCTCACACCCTTCCATAGACTTACACAGTAAGTATGACAACTTCCGGAGGACATCCTCCAACCTATCAGAGCTTTTGCAGCATGAACTGACATGTTGTCCACCCAATCAAAGGATCAGATAATTAATCTAGTACTGAAAGCATAAGCTACAGCTAGCTAGCACTACAGTGCATCAAATGTGGTGAGTAGTTGACTCAAAGAGAGAGAAAGAAAATACAGTAGTTGAACAGTTTTGAACAAATTAATTTCTTCCTAAATGAAGGAGAAGCAAGAGAGAAATAGATATAATAGAAGAATATGCTGTAATATAAGAACAT